GCCCCGCCCCACCCCGCCCTGCCGCGTCAAGCAGCTGGAATGAGGGGAATCCGTGCGCGGAGGGGTCCAGCCGGCTTCACCCTTCCCGAGCCGCGTCGCCGCATTCCTGGGATGCCCACAGGCGCCCCCGCAGCCATCGTCCCGCAGCGGAAGGAGGGGGCGTCGCTCCCGCCCCACCGGCCACAGCCTCCACACACCCCCACACCCCGGCCTGCTCCACCTTCTCAGGACAGATGCGTGAGTCCAGAGAGTGGAAGTGGAGAACCGAGGATGTGAGGGACACCGCGACCAAAGCTGCCATGCGTGGCGCTTCCTGCCTTCTTAAGCGCTTGCGTATTCACGCTCCTCTGTGCCCCAAGCCACACCAGAGTTCTGGATTCTTACTCTTAGTTTTAGAAGGGGAAACTGAGACTGGGTAGGTGAAATGCCTTAAGATTTCTAAACTTGTAAAAGTAGGACTGGAATCCAGATCCCTAATACCAGACCAGCCCTGATCATTCCAAACAAGACTACTCTGACAAGCTGTGATGTTCCTCGGTGACCCAGGATATGTGTGTGTCACATACCCTTAGGAGTAGCAATGAGGGAACAAGTCAAGGCCATTGGACCCCATCAGCATGGCCCTGGGGGTGAAGCTGGCTGCAGGCTGGAGTACAGCTATGGCCACTGAGTGACCCAGGACTTATTTCTTATATTTCTTAGACGCTTCTGGGTCTCCTCCCACAGAGCAAGGTGTTTTTTTTTACTGGAACCACAGGGAATGGGGCTGGCAGCTGACTAGGTCAGCCAGTGCTCTTTACCTAGTGCTTCCCAAGCCTGACTTTTGGTGGAGTGGAGGACTGTGGGCAGCCCCAAATATTCCCCCAACCCCTAGGTCTGGAGTGGCTGCTCTCAGCAACCCCAAACTGATTTCCGCTGAGGAAAACATGGCCTCTTGGGACTGGAGAAAGATAACCATGGCCTGCCTCACTGGCAGGTCAAGTGGTAGGTACAGAGCAGATAACTCTGTTTTGTTTTGTAAAGAAATAGTTTCACTATGTAACCCAGGCTGGCCTGGAACTTAAGAGCCTCTTGCCTTAGCCTCCTTAGTGCTAGGATAACAGATGGTGCACTACCATGCCTGGTTCAATTTTGATTCATCAAACCAATCTTGCAATGGCTAGGGTATCCCAACAGGGACGGTTAGAGGCTTCAGGGAACTGTTATGAGGGGAAAGGGGAGTGGAAGGGATGTAGGGGCCTTACTGATTGCTCACTCACAGGGCTGAATTAAGGGCAGTATACTCTAGCTCCAGAACCATGGGCCTTTGGTCTGCCAGAGACCTCTTCCAGCAAAAGCTAATAGAGCACCTTGCCCTAACATAGTCTCTTTGTTCTTTTTTTTTTTTTTTTTTTTTTGAAGAAGGGTCCCCCTGTAGGCCCAGCTGTCCTGGAACTATGTAGACCAGGCTGGCCTTGAACTCACAGAGATCCACCTGCCTCTGCCTCCCAAGTGCTGGGACTACAGGCGGGCGCCACCATGCCCAGCTGTTCCCTGTCTTTTATGTAGAGAGAAGGGCAACATCCCCAGCTGGTCATCATAACCTGGCATTAAAGGCCTGTCCTCCTCCCTCCACTCTTCATACCAATTCAGTCACTGCCTCATAAAACCTCATCCTTGATACTCCATCTCATTCCTCTTCTGGACCAGCATAGCAGTTTCCTAACTTTCCTTCCTGCCTTCCTCTCACCAATCAACAGTCCCAAAGTGGCTAGTGGCATTTACAAATGCAAATCTAACAACATCTCATGCCAGTGGAGGGAAGGTTTATGAAGCACAGCTCCCCAGGCACAAGGCTTGTGCTTCACACCCACTGCTTCTGGTCAAAGCCTTATAGACACCTGCAGTCCCCAGTATCCTCAGTTTACTCCACTACCCCTGTGTTGCCCTGTGACTGCACATGTAGTTCTCTCCAGTCCCTTCTTTCTCCACACTTTCCTTAGGACTACACACAGCCTGGTGGTGCTGCTGGCTCCCTGCTGCCAGCCACCAGCTCCTCTGGGCTCCAAGCTTCTGTGCCTTTGCACCTGCGGCTTCCTCGGCCCAGCATTCTGCCTGTTCACCTCCTGACTTAGTTATCCCTGAAGACTCCGCTCAGGCTTCACCTTCTCCATAGTCCCTTTCTGACTTGCCCTAATACACAGCCCCCTCCTTACCAAGTCTAATACTAATTGCCCGTTTCCTTGTCAAGATTCTGTCAGGAGACCGCTCCAGCGTCAGACAAGCTCTTAGCTAGGTACCGGGTGGGGGTTCAGTAACCCTTTCATGAGCGCCTTGCATGAATGAATGAATCTCAGAGCCCAGGAGTGTGATCACGAGGCCGGCGCGTGCCGGAGTTGAATGAAACAGTGGGCCAACCATTCATTCTCCCATTCATCTCAGCTCCGCACCGCCTCACTCACCGACGGAGGCCTCAGGGCCACTGGCTAGCTTGGGCTCCGGGGGCTCGGGCCGGGAAGGGGCGGGGCTCGGGCGGCTGCTTCGGAACCCAGAGCGGGGAGGGCTGTGGGAGCCGCCTAGAGGGAACACTGGGTGCCTGGGTCCCGCGACCTAAGCCTCTCCTCCCCGCCGCGCGTTACCTACTAGTAATCTAAGTGCCCACTAGACTGAGCCCCGGCGCCTCGTGGTCCTGGGACCCTCGCACCGATCAGGCCGAGCGGATCCTGCAATACCTGGCCGGAGACCCCGGCCTCCGGACCACAGCTCCCGGCCCCTGAAGGCGCCCAGGCGCCTGCCCTTTCCTGCAGCCAGCTGGCCAGCGGAGACCTCCCCAGATCCTGCGGCCGCTTCCCCTCTCACGCATACCCACCGGCTCAGTTCTTCCGGTGCTCCGGCGGGGGCCGGGCTGGGCGGCGCGGTCTCTTCGGGAGTCCGCGGCCCCGGTACGATCTCCCCGCCCAGGGCCCACTAGGGGCCGGGCCGTCGCCTATCGTCATTCCGGGCAAGGCCCAGACTCGCGCGCGCGCGCCCTTGGGCCCCGCCCCGTGCTAGTCCGCCCTCCCCGGGGCCCTGGTTGGGTTAGGCTGGGTGCCGCACTCCTCCACCAACTGGCTGGACGAGGCGTGTCACAGTTACCGAGCACAGACATATTCCTTCTACTAAAGACTCGGCCCAGTCTGCAGTGCTGGGTGGGCGAGGGCACCAGATATGGTTCTCCCCCTCGTTAGAGGCCTTTTGCATCTCTGAACAAACCAGACCCCTTCCTCCCACCCCCTTGCCTGCTAGGTCAGGTCAGTTCTTTCCGATTTCTAGTTTCCTCTCTGCTGTCTTGCACCTTCTGGTTCCATGCTACTTGCCCTGGGTCTGTCAATCCGTTTTGTGCACCCAGCCGGGAAAGGGAAGGCATTGTGCTATGCGTCTGCAACTTTTACATACACTAGTCTTTTGCCCTTAGAGCAGCTTGGTTACATCCTTACTCTATGTTCAATTCACAAATAAGCCCATTTAGGTTCGGGAAGCTGGAGGAGGGGTTCAAATCCTGACTCCGCTTTGAAAAATGCCAACAGCCTCTAATCCCTCTCCACTCTCTTCCACTAACTCCTTGTCCTAATGGTTTCTGTACCCATCAAGGCTCAGAAAGGTCCTCACTGCTCATGTTTCCAGAGGGATTGCTTGAGTAGAGGCCGCCCAGCCCAGAGGAGACACTACCACCTTTCCACCCAACCCAAAAGCATCCCAGCTTACAAGTTTGCATGGCCTGTGGGGATGAACCACACGGATTATCTCCCCCGTGGGTATCAGCTCTACTTGCAGTGCCATTCCGTTGTGTGGAGAGCCAGTGTGCTGAAACGCAAAAGCTGTGTTGTGGCCCACTGATTCTGACGGCTTCAGAACCAGGAATCTCTGCTCTCACGGGCTGGGATGGCCACTTGGTTCTGCTTCAACTCCAGTCCCAGGGGATGTGGCTGGTCCAGCTCCTCAGGACACAGCTGGAGCAGTCCAGGTCTGATTGGGAGGTCTCTTGGCCAGAGGGTTGGGGCAGGAAGAGGAGGGGCTGAAGGATGGAGGAAATGCCTGTTGTCCCAGGTAACTAGAGGAGCCAAGGCAGCCACCCATGGGGGACCCTGGGCTCCAGGTCAAAGGGTAGAAGGCCTTTTCCTCTAGCAGCTCCTTGGCAGGGCCTCTCCCCCTGCCCACTCTCTGATATTGGCTAGAGGGGAAAATAACCACTCCTGATAACCAGAGGGCACATCTTCTCCTAAGCAAAGATGCCTAAGCAGCACTGCCCCTCTTGCAAATCCTTGCAACTTCGCGGCCTCTGAGGACAGTGAGCCTCACCCCCATTCTAAATTTTTTCAAGTGTCTTACTGTATCGCCCAGGCTAGTCTTGAATTTCTAGACTCAAGTGGTCCTCCTGCTTTACCTGAGTACTGGGAGAACAGGGATGTGCCAACCACTTGACCACTCCTTAAGTTTTAGAGGCCAGGGCTGGCCATGCTGGGGAGGAGTTGTTAGTAGCAGCAGGAGGGTACTGTGGGGAGGCTTCTGCTCTCCCCACCTCTGGAGCTCAAACATTGGGAGTTTAGTTCCTGGGTCCCTTGGGTGTGTACAACTTCTAGTTGTTTGCTTATTTTCAAATGTACCCCCGCCCCCAAGTGTTCCTGTTTTTCTATCTTTATTGTTGCTAAATCACGGCTGACACTTTCCTGGCCTGGGACTGAGCTCCTCAGTCTCCAGCCATTCCTTATAGGAAATGAGAATGGGGAAGTGGAGGGGGAAACAGACTTTTCCAGAAAGAGAGGCTGGCATGGGAGCAGGGGACCCCCGGGCCTGTGCTGACACTGATCAGGCAGGCACCCTTCCCTTCTCTCCCTTAGCTTCCCCCGCCCAGGAAATGCCTGTAAAGTTTCCTTCCTCTGGGAAGCACATCTATCCAGGGCAAGCTCATCCCAGTGGTCACACAATGGCTCTTATCAGTCATGGAGCCAGGCACAGAGACCCAGCACACACCAAGTCTCACATATTTCCTGTTTCCACCCAGAGGGTCAGGGGTGGGCCCAGAGCGGCCATATCCTGACTGGGGCCAGAGAGGGAGAGCAATCCCCTTCCTTTTTCCGCCTCTCAATCACGCTGCTGGACTCACCCTTCCCAGCTCAGGAAGGGCCCTGCATCAGGACACCAGGGCAGTGGTGTGTTTAGCATGAAGCGTAGGAAGGGGAGAGGTGGGTTTGTGGAGAAGCCTGGGAACCTAGAGCCAGCCCCAGGGCTTCATGAATCAGAATGGGGATGTTGTTGGTGTTTTGAAGGGTTTATTTTGTGGGGATTTTGTTGGTGTTGTTGTTGTTGTTTTTTGCACTGGCTCTCAAGTCTTGTCAACAGGTTTATCATTTGAATTTCACAGATAACTGACACTCCTTGTGTGTGTAAGGTAGAATAGGATGGATCACTGATGCAAATCCAGTCCGCAGGTCCTAAATTGTTCTTCTCTCCCCATGAAGGAGTCATACACAAGTGTAAAAGCCACATTTATAATTATCCCCCAAAGTAACAACAGGCACAGGGTAGCTAGAAGCCTGGGGGGTAATTCTTAACACTGTGGTTCCAAGAATAGAATATAGAACCCAGAGCAACTGGAGTGACTCTCAGTCTTAGGTCACAGTATGGATGTGACAGTCACAGAGCAGACTCCCTGAGGTGTCTTCTCCTGGGAGAAGGGCTATTGAGTCACTGTTGGCAGAAGGCAGTTGGCAGGAATAGGAAAAGGTTATATTCACACTGCACATGAAGAAAGCTGAGGCCCCCTTGGCACCAGGTCTTCCAAAATGTCTTGATCCTGGCTCTTCCTTCTGCTGGCCCCCATTTCTAGGCCCCAAGTCAATGACTCATGACAGGAGTATTGGCAGAGGAGCTTAATTTGGAAGGACCACCCTAGAAATCGGGCAATAGCTCCTTTACCACCTATCAACCCTTGATAAGAGGGGTTCACCAGCAGAAGCTAACCTGAGTCTACACAATTTGTTCTTCTTAGGCCCTAGAACTTCCTGGGTCAGATTCCATGTAGGGGGGAGGGAAGAAGGTTCTATCTAGTTAGTCATACTGCTTCTGCTGAAAACAGGGACCCCAGACCCTCTTCTTATCCCCATGGGGACAAACTGTGAGATACCAAGACTTTTGGAACCCAGTGCTGCTTGTGCCACCCAGTCTGAGGCCTGTACAAATGTGAACATCTCCCCCTCCCAGGCAGCCTGAGGCCCAGGATGGCGTGATAGGAATGTAGGCCTGTGCCAGATAGGGCATGTGCCTGGCAGGGCTGCTTGAGTGTGAGAGGGAGTGTGTGTGGGAGAGGGGGAAATCAAGAAGTAGCATGCAGGTTAGAAAGTTGGTTCTTCCTATATGCACTAGACTATCCCCAGGTATTCACCATTGACACAATAGTTGGTTTCACTCACATCTCAGCAACAAAACCTGTATTTAAGTGCCAGTTCATCCAGCCTGGAGAGAGCAAAAGTGTTTGGCTGAGCTCCCCTGGGAAGTGGGAAGCTGGAGGATACTTGGCTGCCTCCTCAAGGGCCAAGCCCCCAGTGCTCCTGGCAGTGCTGAGACAGAGCTGGCTTCCAGCTCTAGCCTCCGCCCTGGATACATTCACTCCCATGTGGGCTCAGATCTGTGGTTCAGGCTCAGACAGTTCATCGTGTCTCAAAAAATAGGGAAGCGGGATCTGCAGGGGTGAAACAGGTGGCCGAAGTAAACATAGGTCTTTTCCATACCTTGCTAACACTCCTACTGCCCAACAGATACAGGTTGGCTCCCATGCCTGTGGCCTCCAAGAACCAACAATGGGCTCAAGTCTTCCAAAATAACCTCTGTTTTACCACCAGTATTTCTTACCTTGAAGGGTTGACTTATCCCCACTATAGAGTGCAGATTGTTGCTATAATAACAGAGAAGAAACTGATTCTCAGTGTCAGGGATATCACTGACATTGATGTATACCTGGAGGAATGACAGGAATGGGGTCAATTCTAGGGCCCTAGGCCCTTCCCAGTACAGCAGTAAGTAATTCAACACTCTTCCTTCCCAAAGGCCAGTGTTTAGACAGGCCTGCATGCCAGAGATGTACCTGGTTTGGGCTGTCACCACAGGAGACCTGGTTGTCCCTGACCCAGACATAGGATACATAGTCATTAATGTGTCGCATCCCCACCTGTAAGAGAAGGAATCAGTCAGTCAGTGGTTGGGGAGGATATAGAAGCTATAGAAAATCATAGCCAGGCATGGTGGCGCACACCTTTAATCCCTTGGAAGGCAGAGGCAGGCGGATCTCTGTGAGTTTAAGGCCAGCCTGGTCTACATAGTGAGTTCCAGGACAGCTGGGGCTACAGGGAGACCCTGTCTCAAAAAGACCACAAAAATAAGATATAGAAGCTATGGAAAAATCCTTAAAAGAGGTTGATCTTACTGCTGGGGCTGGCCATTATACTACATCTTCCCTTCCCTGCCAGGCCCCAGGTAGATAAGAATCCCAGGGGTAGACAAGAGTAAGCACTTCGGGGTCTCTGCTGAGCTCCTATAAGCCCCAATGATGGAGAAACTAGGGGAATGGTAGATTCCCTGCCTTGTCTGCCATATCACCTTATATAGTCCAATCCAGTCCCAGGGGCTGCTGAGGAAGTCTGCAGTGGAGGAATAGCTGATCAACATGTCATTCTCCATTGTCCACAGGCAATCAGGCATCATGGTGATCAGTGGGACAGACATCACTGGGTTCAGCTATACAGAAGGGTGGGAGGTCAGCTGAAATCCTAGAGCACCATTTCCCTCAATGTTCCTTAAGGTGCCCCTCTAGAGCATTGGAGGTAACAGGGGCAGCCAGAGCAGTGGGCATTAATCTTTGCTAAGCTTGGCCCAGGGAAAGCTTGCCCTGCCAGGAGAATGGGGCCCAGAACCAGATGGGTAACACAGGAAGTCCAGAGCTGAGGGTGAGCATGGAAGGGGAAGAGGGAATTGCTCAGAGGTTTAAGAAAAGAGGTCAGACAGCTGCTCTCTTCCAAGATTTTTGACGCAAAGGCCCAAATTCAGTTTTGTAGGGAGAAGCTCTGGTGAGAACAGCAGTAAAGGTATGGAAGGGGCACAGTTGTATAACTCAAATGTGAAGGCTGCAGGAAGAGCTCACAGCTTAAGGTGGTCAACACTACCTTGGTCATTAGATGGCAAGAGATATAGGGTGGAGGGGGCTCTCTCTGCAGTTTGATCTAGATATGCTTAGAACAAATAAAAGGAAGTTCTACTTTGCAGGGCAGGTAATAAACGTCATGGAAATTTTTAACCCCAAGGGAGAAGAATACCAGGAGGAAATAGAAACCTATTCACAAAGGGCCTGAACATGTTTTTAACAGAAAGAGCCATCAACAGCTCCTCAGAAGAGCTGGGATACCTGACCTGGGAGGATAGGCAATCATATCCTCCTATAGGGCTCCCCTGGAGGACTGGCTGACATGATAATCTAGGCCTAGAGGGCTTGGGATATGGCCCAGCACAGCTAGTCCTTTGCCAGGTGTGGGCGGTCCAGAAGTTCACCTCCAAGTCAAAAGTGCCAGTGACAGGCTTATGATCGCTGATGCTGTACATCATGTGGCTGATGTAGCTCTTCAGAGTCAGTGAGAAGTAGGAGGTTGGCAGACTATAAGCAAAGGGGCTGGCCTGGGCTTGACGTTTCAACCGCCACAGGATGCGGTCAGTCCATGCTGGCTTGCGTTTTTTCTCACTGGGGTTGGGGCAAGAAATGGGAAGAAAATGAGTTGATATAAGAGTAGGAATGTGCCCCCATATGCCTGCTCCAGAGTCTACCAGCAAAGACTTCTGGGCCAGAACTGGAAGAAGCACAGCAGCAGGCAATCATGTCCAACAGACAGCAGGTGCTGGCTTTTGTCAGGATTAACCAAAGACCTACTTAGGCCCTCTTTTTTGAGACAGGGTCTCCCTGTAGCCCAGCTGTCCTGGAACTCACTATGTAGACCAGGCTGGCCTTGAACTCACAGAGATCTGCCTGCCTCTGCCTCCAGAGTGCTGGGATCAAAGGCATGCGCCACCACGCCCGGCACAAGCCCTCATTAAAAAAAAATATATATATGTTATTTTTATTTTATGTGTATGTGTATTGCCTGCATGTATGTGAGTGCATCCGTGTCATGCAATGCCTCGGAGGTCAGAAGAGGGCTTCAGATTCCCCTGGACCTGGAGTTAAGGATGGTTCATAGGTACTGGGAATTGAATGGGGCCCTCTGTAAGAGCAGTCAGTGTTCTTAACTGCTGAGCCATCTCTCCGGCCCCCTAAGCCCTTATTTTTATGAATTAAATTGACTCAGAAACACTGGATGTCAAAACTCTTCTTAAAAAAAAAAAATAGCAGAAAAGAAGCTTAGGTTTGGGTTTTGAATTGCAGAGACCTCAGACTTGAATCTGGCTTCCCTCTATGACCTTAGGAGAGGGAAACAGAACTTGGGGAATGCTTACCACAGGCCTATAATTAGTACAGCTGTCACTCAGCCTTCACAGTGGGGAAACTGAGTCTTAGAAGGAGACTTTCAAAGACACATGGCTTACTAAATGGTAGAGGTAGGACTCAAGGCCAAGCAAGCAATGTGACAACAGAGCATGTGCTCTTTACCACCAAGCTAACCCTCTCAGGCCCCAGCTTCTTCCTCTGCAGAATGGAGCTGAGAACAGGTGTTACCTCACAAGGTTGCTAAAATGGCCAGATGAGCTGAAGCCCCTATCTATCTAGCACAGGACTCGGCACAAAATGAGCTCTCTGTAGAACTTGGTCATTTAACTATTTAGCTGAGGATGAACTTGAACTTCCCATCTTCCTGCCTTTACCTCCCCAGTGCTGGGATTATAGGATTGTGTTTCCATTGTGATTCTTTGTTTTCAAGAATCAAATGAGGGGGGTGGGAAGATAGCTCAGTTGGTAAAGTATTTGCCATGCAAGCATGAGGACCTGAGTTCAAATTCCTAGCAGGCATGTAAAAGTTGGGTACAGCAGTGTGAATATCTGTAACCCTAGTGCTGAGGAGGGTAAAAATAGGCAGATCCCTAGAGCTCACTGGCCATCCAGTCTAGCTGAATTGATATAACTTCAGTTGGGGTGAGAGACCTTGTTTCAAAAAATAAGGTGGGGCAGGGCATGGTGGCACATGCCTTTGATCCCAGCACTTGGGAGGCAAAGGCAGGTGAATCTCTGTGAGTTCAAGGCCAACCTGGTCTACATAGTGAGTTCCAGGACAACTGGGCTACAAGGAGACCGTGTCTCAAAAAGACCAAACAAAATCAAACAAACAAACAAACAAAATCATTTCTAAGGCTAGGCATGGTGGTACATGCCTTTAAACCTAGCATTTAGGAGGCAGAGGCAGGTAGGTAGATCTCTGTGAGTTCAAGGTAAGCCTGGTTTACACAGCAAATTACAGGCCAGCAAGGCCTTCATAGTGAGACCCTGTCTCAAAAGAAAATTATTTTTAAAGGAAAAAGAAAATTGAGAGGGCTGGAGAGATAGCTCAGTGTTTAAGAGCACTGACTGCTCATGCAGAGGACTCTTGCAGAGGACCTGGGTTCGATTCCCAGCACCCACATGGCAGCTAAGAACCGTCCTTAACTCCAGTTCCAGGGGAATATGACCTCCAAGGCATTGCACAACCCGGGTGCACTCACATACATGCAGGCAATACACTCATACACATAAAATAAAAAATAAAAAAATAATAAAAAAAATTGAGAACTGAAGAAGACTGCAGACATTGACATCTGTACGCCACATACTCATACCAAGCACATCTGCCCCAAGTCAACTCAAAGAGCAGGTATGGTGGTTCATATCTCTAATCCCAGCAGGCATGTGGCTAAGGCAAAAAGAGCACTTGAGCTGGGCATGTTGGCACACGCCTTTAATCCCAGCACTCAAGAGGCAGAGGCAAGGGGATCTTTGTGAGTTCAAGGCCAGCCTGGTCTACAGAGTGAGTTCCAGGCCAGCTAGGGCTAAAGAGAAGCCCTCCCCAAAAAAGAAAAAAAAAAAAAAAAAAAAATCATTTGAAGTTTGAGGTCAGTCTGGGCCAGGCCAGCCTTGGCTAGAGTATCTGTAACCCCAGTGCTGGGGAATGGAGACAGGCAGCTCCTGGGGGGCTTGCTGGCCACCTAACCTAGCCTGAACAGTGAGCTCCAGGTTCAGTGAATGACTTCATCGGAAAAAACAAGGTGAAATGGCTAGGAATACACATCAGTGGTAGACTGCTTACCTAGTATGTGTGAGGTCCTAAATTCGATTCCCAGAAGCTAGGGGGAGAAAGGTAGAGAGTAATGGAGGAAGATATTGATGTCAGTATCTGGCCTCCAAAGACACATGCACAGCATGAGTGAGGGCATCACACAGACACATGTATACATGTGCACATGCATATACATACTACCTCAAAAAAAAATCAAAAGAAAAAAAAAATCATCTGAGAGACCTCCTACCTCCTTTTCACTTAACAGTTCGGATGGCTTGAGAGGCCAGCCAGCCCTTCAGCCCTTGGAGACAAAACTCCTTCCTCCTCTAGGTAACTGGAGTCACTCAAAGGCAAGCCTCTGACCCTGTCCAGCTCCACTAGCTGTTATCGGGCCATTCACTGAGCTTCATCCTCCAAATGGGGCCAGAATTCTGGGATGGGGCTGAAGGGAGGAGAGCTGCTATTTGAGATCTTCTCCTTCAGCAGGGGATCCCTTTTCTTGAATGAACCCCATAGTAGTAAACTTCATCAGATAATACCCTACTTAAAAATCTTTAGAGAGGCTAGCAAGGTATATTGGGTAAAAGTGGTTGATCTTCATATGTGCATGGTGATGTGTGCATGAATGCCCATGTTCACAATAATAACAACTAAAAATAAATAAAATCAGCCGGGCGTGGTGGAGCACACCTGTAGTCCCAGCACTTGGGAGGCAGAGGCAGGCAGATCTCTGTGAGTTCAAGGCCAGCCTGGTCTACATAGTGAGTTCCAGGACAGCTGGGGCTACAGGGAGACCCTGCTTCAAAATGACCAAAAAATAAAATAAAAAAATAAATAATAAAATCTTGTTTGGTTTTTCTTCCATTTTGTTTTTGAGACAGGGTTTCACAGTGTAGCTCTGGCTGGCCTAGAACTCAGAGATTTGCCTACCTCTGCCTCCCAAATGCTGGGATTAAAAGTGTATGCCACCATGCCCAATCTGTAAAATAAAATCTTTAAAGAGGTCTTTACTGTCTCCAGAGTAAAGCACAAGTCCTCAAGTAGTGCTTCAAGAGATTCAGGAATCTGATTCCCACCCAACCTCATCCTCACCATGTGTGCACTCATTCTACAGTGCCAATTCTTTCAAGTCTCTTTGCTGCCTGGAATGCCCTTCTTCACTAGGGAGAGGTCCAGCCTCAGCACTGCCTTTGCCGTAAAACCTCCCTGACATCATCTTTCTGCCTTCAAAGCATTTAATATCAGTACTTTCACAATATACCACACTGTAACTTTGCTGCCCACTCACACCATCAGTTAGCCTGTGGACTCTCTGGAGTCAGGGACTGGCTTTTGGAGCTTCTGTGCGACCCAGCATTGGTACAGACTCTGGTACATAGTGATTCATTAACTGCCCAACTACAAAACCACACACTGAACCTTTCTCCTCAAAAATATTCACCCAGAGCCAGGTGTGGTAGTGTACAGCAGAGGCAGGCAGATCTCTTATGAGTTTGAGGCCATCCTGGTCTACATAGCAAGTTCCAGGCCAGCTGGGGCTACAGGGAAACCCTGTCTCAAAAAGACCAAAAAAAATTTTTTTTTAAATTTGCCCAGAGATGGGGCATGGTGGCACATACCTGTATTCCCAGTATTTGGTTTGTGAGACAGGCAGAAACAAGATGATTTCTTGCTGACATTCAAGATCAGCATGGGTTATATGGTAAGACGCTGACTTAAAAATACAAACATGGGGCTGTAGAGATGACTCAGCAGTTAAAAACACTGGTTGTTCTTGCAGAAGACCCAGGTTCGAATCCCAGCACCCACATGGCAGCTAACAACTGTCCGTAACTCCAGTCCCAGGGGATCTGACAGCCTCTTCTGAATTCCTTGGGCATTGCACAACACGGGTGCACTTACCTACATGCAGGCAATACACACATACACATAAAATAAAAATAATAAAGTTTTTTTAAAAAGTTAAAAAAAAAATACAAACATGCAGGGCTGGAGGGATGGCTCAGCAGTTAAGAACACTGATTGTTCTTGCAGAAGACCCAGGTTCAAATCCCAGCACCTACATGGCAGCTAACAACTGTCTGTAACTCCAGTTCCAGAGGATCTGACAGCCTCTTCTGTCCTCTGTGGGTATTGCACGACACCAGTGCACTTACTTACCTGTAGGCAATACACGCATACACATAAAAAAAAATTAAAAACAAACAAACAAACATGCTGGGCCTTGTTGGTTCATAACTTGGAATGTGGAGGCAGGAAGATCAGGAGTTCAATGTCAGGCTCATCTATAAAGTTGAGTTTGAGGTTAGCCTGGACTACATGAGACCCAATCTCAAAAAAATAAAACCAGGGCTGTCAAGATGGCTCAGGTTGGTAAAGGCACTTACCACTAACTCTAAAAATAAGTTTGATCTCCAGGACCCACAGACTAGAAGAAAAGACTCTGAAAGTTGTTCTTTGATCTCCACATGTGCTGGGGTACATGCATGTACACATGCAC